ACCTTCTCTTCTTACTCGGAATGACTGTGGGTTGTATGCTGTCACAAGCACCCAATGACCCACTCGAGCCATCCCTGACTAGATATGAGTCTGGGCTAAGGTGTATGGGCTGGTATGGTTTCACCAACCTCTTATGGTTTTTCTTCTCTTAAGTGAGCTTCAGCAGTCGTTCGCGACGCTCCTCCATGTTACCTGCGAACATAAAAACGATATCCATGGGTTAGTTTTGTTAGAATGACTTAAACAAATAAACTCAAGAAGTAAAAAGGCAATGAATCACGCGAGCAGAAACCTAGGAGGTTCACGGCCTGCTCGAATGTCCGACATTCCACGAGCACTTTGGTATTGATCGGGCGCGCCTCAAACGTCAGTTCGTTGTCTTCATCGAGAATGCCATGCCCTTCCCTTGTAACCCACCTCGAGGGAAAGAACCCATCAACGAACCGAGTCAGGATACCATAGGACTCTTCATCCTCAGCACTCATACTGCCATGAGGGTTGTGACAATGATCGGGACTGTGTTCGTAGTGACCCGAGCACCAGTGAATAAGGAACTTCGAAAGTCGCCCAATCTCTGGATTGCCCTCCTCATCAAGACATGCTTCCCCGTCTTCATCCACTACTTGAACGGCTTCGAGCACGGCATCCACGACCACCTGGGATGATGGTTGCACAATGTACCATTTATCCTTGAAGTCGCGGACATAATCCATGTACATCCTAAACAGTCTCTTCGACTGCTTCAAGGAAACCGAACTATGTTTCCCACCCCTAGGTTGACATTGGAGGTGGAAAACTCTGAAAAACATAGGGATGGTCGCCCCGATCCTCAGGAACCGACACGTGATTTCGAAAGCCCATAGGAAGGCCAAGTTCAGGTGATTGAGCACGCCCATCTGAAAATCATTGAAGGGAAAATGAAGCCCCAAATCTTTGAAAACGATCTCTCATACATCGGGAAGCGATCCTCCTCGAACTCCAAGCATATCCTCACCGTGGGCGTTGGTGCCATTATCGTAAAATTACAACGAAACCCTTCCATGTCGCCGCCATGCTCGACGACAGTATAGGCTTGTCTTCTTCTATAACTATAGACCGAAGCTATCCCTCGAGGCTCCGGTCCTACCCAAGATAACATAGGATCGTCGACCGTGTCGACCAGATGGACACCTTCATCGGCCACGCTCATCTCTTCGACATCTACATGCTCAGACGATTCAGGAGTATCAGCCATTTCACCTGTAAAGCAGAGGAAACCAGTGAATTCAACAGAAAAATCACATCCACCCCTCCATCCAGCACGGGTGAAAAGGGGTTGGCTACGTCCAGGATAGGTCGACCATGACTCGAGCAGAGAGGACATACACGACCCATTATCAACGCGTGAAACTTATACAAATTTCATAACATCGTACGACGATGATAAAAACGAAACGCATGTCTAATGGTAACTCAGACTAAGGATAAACATAGAGAGGGCAAGGCCATGGATACTGCGAGGAACATATGACTTCACCAGACTGACTCATGAATTCACCGGGGAGAATATCAATCCCCGGTGTAGAATTCATGAATTTCGCGGGGAAGAGACGAATATTACGAGCTTATTCGCAAATGTTACACACAAATATATGAACACCCCGAGCAAAACCCCACCCGTCGCGAAATTCTATAAATAATCATCAATAAAGATAATCTAAACAACGATTACTACGAAAAACACTTACTTGAATAGAGTAGATGGAAGAATTCGCGACGGACTTTGCGGCGGTGACGGCGGAGAAAAGCAGCAAACGGACTTGAAGACAAAGAGAGTGGAGAGCGTGAAAAAGTGAACAGAAAGATTGAAATGTGGAAAATGGGTCCTAAGGCGCTATATATAGAGCTGACGTGGAATGAGAAGCGTCGCATCAAGTAGCCAATCGATCGCCCTTCTCCTCGATGTCTACGCGCTAAGGTAATAATGGCCCCTACTCCCTAGGCCATCATTGTCGCCTTTCTCCTCGACGTCTACGCGCTCAGGTAATAATGTCCCCTACTCCCTAGGCCATCATTATGGTCCCAAAGGTCACACCACATGGCGACACCTTGCACCTTTTCTCTCCCCGCGAGTCGAGGAACAACAGGGATGTTTCCCGTCGAATATATTCTGACTTCTGCTCGAATACTCACGCGTACCGACGACAATCCCCATCAACACAATGAAAAATCCCCTGTTGAGTTATGCGCTCCTCGTAAAGGAAAAGGTGAACTTAAGTCATAACTCCTTCATCACGAGCAACGATTTGGGGGACTCCTGTTCTGGACTAGGCCTGCTCTTGGCCCAAGTCCACATAAGGCCCAATCTAGCCCGACCAGTCAAAGACCATCGGGTAATAGTATCCACTCTTCAAGAGGACACTGCTTCACCACATGGGGATGGATCCAGGAAGATCCTGCTAGCCTAAGGTCGCGCGAGAGGAGCAGTCTTGTTCGAGGTCATCTTGCCCGGTGATGCGCCTTCCTGTGTCTTCCTGGATCCGTCCCCATGTGGCAAAGCAGCGTCCTCTTGAAGAGTGGATACTATTGCCCGATGGTCTTTGACTGGTCGGGCTAGATTGGGCCTTATGTGGACTTGGGCCAAGAGCAGGCCTAGTCCAGAACAGGAGTCCCCCAAGTCGTTGCTCGTGATGAAGGAGTTATGACTTAAGTCCACCTTTTCCTTTACGAGGAGCACATAACTCAACAGGGGATTTTTTATTGTGTTGATGGGGATCGTCGTCGGTACGCGTGAGTATTCGAGCAGAAGCCGGAATAGATTCGACGGGAAACGTCCCCGTTGTTCCTCGACTCGCGGGGAGATAAAAGGTGCAAGGTGTCGCCATGTGGTGTGACCTTTGGGACCATAATGATGGCCTAGGGAGTAGGGGCCATTATTACCTGAGCGCGTAGACGTCGAGGAGAAAGGCGATAATGATGGCCTAGGGAGTAGGGGCCATTATTACCTGAGCGCGTAGACGTCGAGGAGAAGGGCGATCGATTGGCTACTTGATGCGACGCTTTGCATTCCACGTTAGCTCTATATATAGCGCCTTAGAACCCATTTTCCACATTTCAATCTTTCTGTTCACTTTTTCACGCTCTCCACTCTCTTTGTCTTCAAGTCCGTTTGCTGCTTTTCTCCGCCGTCACCGCCGCAAAGTCCGTTGCAAATTCTTCCATCTACTCTATTCAAGTAAGTGTTTTTCGTAGTAATCGTTGTTTAGATTATCTTTATTGATGATTATTTATAAAATTTCGCGACGGGTGGGGTTTTGCTCGGGGCGTTCATATATTTGTGTGTAACATTTGCGAATAAGCTCGTAATATTCGTCTCTTCCCCGCGAAATTCATGAATTCTACACCGGGGATTGATATTCTCCCCGGTGAATTCATGAGTCTGTCTGGTGAAGTCATATGTTCCTCGCAGTATCCATGGCCTTGCCCTCTCTATGTTTATCCTTAGCCTGAGTTACCATTAGACATGTGTTTCGTTTTTATCATCCTCGTGCGATGTTACAAAATTTGTATAAGTTTCACGCGTTGATAGTGGGGTATAAATTTGTATATATATTTTTGTACTTATTTATTTTTTATTAGCATATTATATATTTTTGTACTTATTTATTTTTTATTAGCATGTTACATGAATTTATTATTAGATGATAATTATTTTTTTAATACTCTTTCTTAACTTGGTTTAATTAATTTATTTTTATTATTTCCTTTATTTCAACCATAATCAATTATTCTGATTTTATAATATTAATTTTTAATTTTTATTATTTCCTTTATTTCAACCATAATCAATTATTCTGATTTTTTATAGTATTAATTTTTAATATATTATGTCATATATTATATCAAATCTATGACTTATTAATATTTTTATAATATTAATAAAAATATAACTTATAATTTAAATATCCAAAAACCAATCTAAATCAAACCGTATTAAATTGAATCGGATTTTTTTAACATATCATCCAAAACCAAACGATAAATAAATTTATCTTTAGATTAGATAGATTTTCACCTTAAAACTGATCCAAAACAAACTCCGAAGACCCCAGATAGTTTACTGTGAACTTAAAATCCTCTAAGTTCCCCAGATAGTTTACTGTGAACTTAAAATCCTCCAAGTTTTAGGTATCTCCCCAAGCTTATATCCTCTAAGCTGACTATGAATCTAATCTCCAGGGTAATAATTTTCATTATAGCACATAATGGAATACTTTTCATACTATAAACACACCAATTGCCAAAACAGCAAAAAGTTGAAGAACAACGTCTTGTCAATAGAAGCAACCCGGAGAAGGATAATTATTTTCTTTATCAACCATTCAAGTTTACAATCCAATGAAATATATATATAGAAAACATGGCCAAGAAAAAAAACTATCTAAAATTTAAACAGGCACGAATATATGAGGTAATAGCCCCAAAAGAATGTGCTTTTAAACTCTAGTAAAAATTGTAACCGACCCTAAGGATATTGTTATACCGCGGGTAAAATGACAAAACTCAGAGCACTACAAAACCACAACACCAGGAAACAGAAACAACCAGTCCGCAGAATCCATTAATGGCTTGTTGAGGAAACCTGCATTTGATATATCAAAAGAAAATTAAACCATTCCGCAAACCATCCAAAAACATGCAATGCAGATATGCAGATGAACATCAACACAGACATGGTCTTCAATTAATTAACAACACGGTCAACAAATAGTTTATCTACACATGATAATAAAACACATGATAGTAAAAAAAAAAAAACTTATTTGGTTACACATATTTTGATGGCCTCAATTTGCATTATATTAGCGAAATTGTCCTAACAACTTGACTACAGATTTTCACATTTTGCATCAGTATAGATGCAATGCTTGGTCAATATGCTGAAGCCAATGCAATATGGAAAGATTAACCAAACCTCGTATATATATCCCAGAAGCTGGAACCGACTGTCCTGATGGGACCTAGTGATGTGGTGCAAGCACTGTCAACAAAGAAGAATACTTTAGCACTAATAACTATTAAAATCAAAACTAAAAGGAAACATGTTTATTGAGGATGGGTTCATAATTGGAGTCAATAATTTGGTAAAGGTACAAAACAACAATTTTTTCAAATTTACATTCGGAAAGCCCGATATCTAAAACCACTATATTTTAAGGTGCTAGAAAGCCATTAACCAATCAAAATACCAATAGTAATACAACTTCAAGATAAAGCACATAAAAAATCATTGGTGAAATTAACCTCAATCATATTATGCAAGAACAAGAAGTTACAAGAAACCTTTTGTATTAAATGTATCCAAGATTTGATGTTAATAAAATAGAGTTTTGAGTGGTGCAATGATTAATAAAACGGTAGAAATTCCCAAACCCAAATAGTTTAAATTCATGGGGAAAATAGAGTCATGAGATTTAGTCAGTTATTCATATCGACAGTGGACACCATTTAAAAATTTCCTAATTGCAGTAAACATCCAATATACTAAAAATTGAAAGCAATTAGAATGGTTAGGACTCGGGTGGTATAAGTAGGTAAAGTAAAAACAGGTAGTTGTCAAATGGGAGTTAGAAATGGCACTTCAGAATCAATTAATCACCAGAGACAAAATTTTGATTTTCACACCACCCCAACCAATTGCTTTTAGGCTGACGGGGCTCCTTCATTATTCGTACCCCACTCTTCGTCAGCCTCGCTGCCGTTTACAAGTACTGCACCATCTGTTGATTCGGCATCCACTACAACTGCCTCTTCTTGGCTTCCTTCCTCTCCGTTTTGTTCATCCGTGTAGTGTTCTTCTTCTGTAAAGTGCTCTTCATTTTGTTCAGTCAACTGCAACATAGGACAACAAAATAAATTAACAGTCTAATACTACTAACAAACAACTTACTGTGGCTATTTACTGTGCAGCATAAACACGAAATACAATATTATGTTGTCAATTAGAATTTCTAGAAACTTTTTGTTTGTGATGTTTCCCCATATTTAGTATACCTCATGATTAGAGTCTCCATTCTCAAGAGGCTCTTCCTCTTCAATCTGCAAGTTTCTGAAAGCTTCAACAAGAGTAACATGTGGTTTGTCAGCATGGTTGATGTATTGCTCTGCTGGAGGGTAAACATTCCTAAAACAGAAATATCAAAAAAATTTGTTAAGTTAACATTACTAAGAGATGTTCTGCATACAGAACACAAATACAAACTGTCAAAGCTGCAAGATACATATGCAAGAAAAAAGGTGTTTTCTACACTGACAGTGTTTCTGCAGCTTTAGACTCAACAGCAAGTGCAACTTGCCAGTCTTCAAACAGATTTGGATATTCCTCAGGATCAGCCAATGATTCAGCAGCTTTTGGATTAACCTGCACTCAAATATACTCTAGTTAATCCACAGCCATTTAGCAATGATAAAACTAACCAAAGAAAGCAATTGAATAAGGATAGAAGCTCCTAGCCACAATATCCAGTCAGGATTATTTTTTTTAAAACTGCAGAGGATCTCAGCTCTTGACAACAACTTGTTTTATGATAAAATGTTGAAACCAAATAAAACGTGTATCTATTTATTTTATAAATAAATATTGAAACCAAATATAATAAAATGTGTATCTATTCCTGAATTTTCAACCAGAGGCATGTGCATATTTTTTGGAACTCTAAGGGGGTGTTGTTTCAAGTTATGTGTGTTAATTTGTTCTCGGGAATAATTCTCTTTGGAATATAATGCTGGGAATCTTATTCTTGGGTTTTTTTTTTTAATAGTGTTCCGCTAACATATGATAGAGATAGTATAGATAGTGTATTAGTTAGACCATGTGCAATGGTGTGTTTAATTGAACTCAACATGGCAAAATCATGTGCAATGGTGTGTTTAGAGTAGTGTTGAGTGTGTGTTGGAGGAGAGAGATGTTGAGAAAACTCAACACCATGTACACTGACGCATGGGCTGGCGTGGCAGCGGCTGGTTGGCTAACCAGATTTTTATCCATTTAATACTTTGAACTCAATTATTTCGTTGCAAATTAATTTTTTTTTTTTTTTTTTACCAAAATTCATGATTTTTTTTTCTCTATAAATAGAGACTTGGTTCATTTGATTTGGACACAGAAAAAAAAACTAAGTTTTTCACTATCTTAATTTTATTATTAGTGTTTATTTTGAAGTTAAGTGTCTTTTTTTAGTGAAATGAATCCCAATAATCATTTTTATTAAGTATTTATTATTTTAATTTAATTTTAATCGATAATTGTAATTTTATGTAATCATAAAAATAAAAATAAAATTTAAATAAGAATATGAAAATAAAAAGTGGTGGGGTAGGGTGTTGAGTGAAAAACCATTGGAGAGGGTAAAAGTTGAATGGGTGTTGAGTTATTAGGTGGAAGAAAGAGAAAATGATGTGGAGTGTTCGGAGTTGAAAAAGTGGGTGTTGAGTTTTTCAACCATTGTAAATGGTCTTAGTAGTCTGCATAAGTGTATTATGCTGAGCTGGATTAGTCTGCTGAGCTGTAATGTTTGTTACAGCTTTCAGTTAGCATTCTGCTATTTCCAACTCCATATAATGAGAGTTCATTGTATCTTCTCAATTATGAAATACAATGAGAAGTATCCTAACTGTATTTTCTAACTGCATTATGCAATTCTATCAACATATATAACATTCCCAGGAATTAACTTGTAAGAGTGAGGTATAGAGGAAGTTACACATATATTTCAATCTGAGCTCATGTGAATCTTTTTTTTACCACCCCTATCCTTTTTTTTACCAACCCTCCCTTGAGAATTAGATCATGGGAATGCGGAAGTTGTTTCTTTCCTAGAAATATTTTACACACAAGAAAAAAAATTCACAACATAGTAACAAACATTGAAATGCATATTTTCCAACTATATAAGCCTGGGAATGTATTAAAAAAAAATACTTGAAACTTTTACATAAAAAAAGTTTCATCATAAGCAAATACCATTACCATGTATCTAAACCAGACATTACCTTATTGAGATCCTTTCTCCAAATTGCCACTATCTCTGGGACCTTACTTGGGAGATAAGATCGAGCCATTAAAGCTGCCTCTGGAATTCGATTGCTGCAAAAAGCACAATTCAGCTATATATATTTAACTGCAGTCTGACCAATCCCCCCACCCTTCCAGTAATGTCAGAATTCTAGAAGATTTACCTTTCTACCAATAGTTGAAGGCAGTCTTCAAGTTTACCCAACATAAATAAGCAAAGGAATGCAACATTGTTCTTCCCTTGCTCCTTAGCAAGGGTTGCAAGTTTTGAAATTCCTTCTGCATCTCCGAAAGAAGAATATAGCAGCAACAACCCACTCAAATCCATTGCATGATTCAAACATTCCTCAGCCATTTGTAACTGCAAAATGGAAAATACAGTGAGCTACAGCTGGACAAGAGAAATATCCAACAAGAATCATTGTTAAGTATCACCAGACCAGTTTGCAGAATTACTAGTAATTTTGACAAATAAAATATTTAACATCCTAATTATACACAAGAATCAGGATGTAACATGCAACAAAACAAATCTTCATTTGAACATAACTAAATCTTTGTAGTCTTTTGCATCTCAAAATCCTCAATAAGAATTATATCCATCATGTGAACAGTGCACATGATCATGTTCAGCAGCACATCTCAGAATCTAACATGATTTTCTGACCAAAACTTCTAACATGCAACAAAACAAATCTTAATTTGGCCTAAGTAAATCTTTGTAGCATTTTTCATCTTAAAAGCCCCAGAAAGGTATATCCATCATGGGCACAACACAATGCACTTGATCAAGGCACTCACTTCACTTCAATACATTAGTATATGGACATTTAGGAAACAAATCAAGCTAAAATGTTGGATAAATTACTAAAGTTAAAGATTTAAATCATATGAAAAAAACACCTTGCCACTAGACATGGCTAATTCTCCCAACTGCTTCCATTTAGATTCACTCTGCACCTCTATTGCAATGCCCTGCAAGGAAAGAGAACACATTATCTATGATATATGACAAAACAAACTCATAAAGATAGATGAAGATAATAGATACCCAAGTTAACAACTTTTACTGGTGAAGCAATATCTCCCTAGAGACATTACATGAACATACCTTTGCAACTTCTAATCTTCCTAGCTGTATTGCTAGATCAAATCTGTAGTCAGGGTCTGTAGCTACTTCAAGAGCATCCTCTATCATTCCCCGTGATTCCAGGAATCGAGCAACACTACCATAAAATCAAGTATTTCAATTAGGATGCGGATAACATATGGCCAAACTGCATATCTGAAACTAAACTTGGAAGTTTTAATAAACACTAAATGGCCAACAGAACAAAAATCTAAACCAAAGCAACAAGCAAATCTATGTGCATTAGTTATTTGTGCAAGATTATGCATTGCTATCGATCTATCATATAACATTACAAGTAAATATATATGATGGACAAGCAAGAAGACTTATACAAATGTCAGAATAAATGTAATAACTGTCCATACAATATTAAGTGTGTTAAAAAAAACAAGCAAATCTATGTGCATTAGTTATTTGTGCAAGATTATGCATTGCTATCGATCTATCATATAACATTACAAGTAAATATATATGATGGACAAGCAAGAAGACTTATACAAAGGTCAGAATAAATGTAATAACTGTCCATACAATATTAAGTGTGTCAAATAAAATTTTTGGTCAGCTACAAAAGATTAACTTCCATTTTCCAGCAGGTTGAAATATCATAACCACACTTGCTTGAAATGGACAAAAAATAGAAGCGAATGGCATACACTAAAAACATGAAAATAATCTAGATATGGATAATTTTATGAAGCCCAACTGCATTAACGAAAAGCATGTTTTTTACATAATAATCATATTTCTGCATGATGATATTATAGTGAGATATGAGAAAGAGAGAGAAAGCTAAAAGAGAAAAGAGAGAAATTGATTTTGTTATTATGTTGAATTGGAATGAGGAGTTGAACATTCAAGAGTTGAATCATTCAAGCTCTACATTTAAGGATGACCTTAATTATTCTATAGTGCTGAACTTTTCTTATTCTATTAAATTAAGGTTGGCCTTAATTATTCTATAGTGCTGATTTTTCATATCCTAAGATATAACTCTAATACTCCCCCACAAGCTCAAGGTGGCTGCAAAGGCTGACTTGAGGCAGACAGGTTGAGCTTGCTGCTGAGCTCCATAAATCTTGAACTTGAGAGAGGCTTGGTGAGGATGGCAGCCTTCTGGTCAATACCAGGAATGTGGCAGACAGTGAGAGACTTATTAAGGACTTTTTCTCTTACAAAAAAGAGGTCAATTTCCATATGCTTTGTTCTTGCATGAAGAACAGGGTTATGAGCCATAGCAACTGTGCTCTGGTTGTCACAATAGATGGCTGGAGTTGTCAAGGGAATTTTTAGTTCAGCTAGTAAAGTTTGAAGCCATAAAACTTCAGCTGTGGTGTAAGCCAAGCTGCGATACTCTGCCTCAGCACTAGAACGAGCAATATCAGTTTGCTTTTTGAACCACCAAGAGATCAAATTAGGGCCTAAGTACACAGCTGACCCAGAGGTGGATCTTCTATCATCTGGGTCAGCAGCCCAGTCAGCATCACAGTAGGCCTGCAGAGAGAACGGAACAGTGGAGGCAGGAGTGAACAATAAACCAGAGGTGATAGTGCCTTTTAGGTAGCGCAGAATACGCTTGACAGCTAGCCAGTGGGACTCCAAGGGGTGTGCCATGAACTGACATACTTTGTTAACAGCATAGCAGATGGGCGTGTAATTGTTGCATACTGCAGGGTAATCATCAGGTAATCACCAACAGATTTAGTGTTGTAGATCTGAGTTCCACTCGGAGTTGTCTTGCTTTTCACACGTGTAAGCTTTTGAAAATACGCAAGAATACGTTCCCAGAGCTCATAGGATTGAACACATCCGAGAACGCGTGAAAGAATCGAAGGTGGAAAAAGCATGGATTGAAGCCACGTCATAAGCCACTGATCTTGCGTAATCCAGGTGCGATACAGAGTTCTCACGAGCAGCTGCACGGTCTTCATCAGTTAGGTATTGATTCGGTATGTCACGAAGGTAAAGGTAGTTTTGAAGATTATTCGCATTAACGAAAGGATCTACTTGTTGGCGCCAAAGTAGGAAATTTTTCTCATCAAGTTTTTCTGTGATTTTGAGTTGGAATGACATAGATGCTGCGGTGGCCGGAGCTGTAGTTACCGGAGTCGCTGCCATGGATAGAACCGAAGCTCTATGATACCATATTATAGTGAGATATGAGAAAGAAGAGAGAGAAAGCTAAAAGAGAAAAGAGAGAGATTGATTTTGTTATTATGTTGAATTGGGATGGAGCATGATGCTCTATTTATACAAGAGGAGTTGAACATTAAGAGTTGAATCATTCAAGCTCTACATTTAAGGATGACCTTAATTATTCTATAGTGTTGAACTTTTCTTATTCTATTAAATTAAGGCTGGCCTTAATTATATTATAGTGCTGATTTTTAATATCCTAAGATATAACTCTAATAGATGAAAAGAAATTAATTATTATTGTATAATATAATACAAGATAACTGTACCTGTTATGATGCTCTTTAGGAATTGATGGTAGAACTTCATTGGCCCTTTCCAAATCACCACGCATCACAAGTGTCTTGTACTCAATCAAGCTCAAAAGCAGGGTGTATCCCACAACACTGAGGGAAACAGACAATAAAAAGAAATAAATAGTTAAAATTTCTACAACTGGATACTTTATTTAATTGAAACAAAAAGACCACTTACTTAAATTCTTTGTCAATCAAAAACACCCGACTTTGGTTTGCAAGATATCCCAACAAGTACATAGGGCGATCCAAATGGAACATTGTAGTTACCTAAATCCATAATGTTGCAACAATAGGTTTCATATGACTCCAGTATTTTAATAAAAAGTATGAGTTTTCCATAAAAGGAACACGAGTTAATACCTCTCCACCAACACAGTAATTAAGTCTCCAAGAGGAATTGTTGTAGATAAAGCAATCCCCAACCCAGATACCGGTCCTTACACGTTCATTCATTTCATGAAGGAGCTCAAAGGCATCTTCAACACCTTCCTCATCTACGGGCTTTCCACTATCTATATGTGATGCAACAACATCACGCTGCACCAAAGGAAATCAAAGTGATTACAGTGCTCATCAGTAGAGATCAATCAAATATCGACTCAGAAAACACAAGCCAGAAAATATAAAAAAAAGATTTAAGTTCTCAAGAATCCTCACATTGTACTTTAGGATGTAGAATGACGTATCACTAGCAATTGTTACTAGATCACCACTATCAGCCCAGTAGAGATTCTGACGCATTAACAAAATAAAATCAAACAGTGAAAAAGAAGAAAGAGAAAAGTAGAGCTAGATGTCACTTAATCAAAGCACTTACTTTCACATTGACATCAATGCGGTAAATCAATCTGCATTCAGTCCAATCATAAAAGCAGATGAAATCATTTGAACATATTGCCAGTAAAGTGCCGCCAAATATTCGTTCAGCTGAAAATGTTGGTCGGACACTCTTCTTTTCCTGAAATGCCCATTATTTAAACTCCTATTAAATCTTCCCTATAACCTTTTTTCCGCTAGAAGAGCTATAACTATCAGAATGCAATTTTTGTGCACTGTCCAGAGTGAGAACCAAGCCAGCCAATAAAGAAAAATAAAATGCGAAGATGTATTGCTATTTGCTTGGGAGCATATTTGTCAAATGCTTCTACAGACAGTGATTGCTTTAAGGAAAGTTAATAGCTAAGCTCGCATGTTTTATTTCAAGCTCCTTGTCATAAACAGTATCAAATATGAACCAACAAATAAATCACTACTGCTCCTTGTAATTTAAAAGAATAACTGACTTTTATATAATCACTATTGCTATATGAGTGGGATGTCAGTCCAGGAGCAGATCTATACAGCTATAATAAGAGAATAAAAATAGAAAAAAGAATGACAGAGATCCATCAATACTTTCAAGGTATTGCTTCCTCCCTACCCAAAGACCCAGATTTCCCTACTCAATGACTGAATCCTCTAGGATCCTCCTCTCCGCTGTATCAATGATAGAAATCCATCAACACTTTCAAGGGTCTGCTTCCTCCCTACCCAAAGGCCCAGATTTCCTTACTCGATTTGACTGAATCCACTAGGATCCTTCTCTCCATTGTATCATTGCTCCCCCGTGTTTGCTAATCCCTTCCCACACCCCTTGCCATAATAGCAAGATTGTTACAGCCTAACTCCTCCTTCTTCCCTTTGCCACTCATCACCTAACTTTTATGCTTCTCATGACTTCATCAACCGTGGGGTGCCTAACACAGTACAAAAATGGTAGGGATCTAGTACAAGATCATAGGGGAAATTTATTGGTTTTCATCACCATTTACATTAAACCTAGTACAAGATCAGAGATAAACAAAGTTCATCAAAAGTACAAACCTGAAAACTTTTGCTGAAAATTTTAATTTTTGATGTACTTTCTCTGACAGCATATTCTCCATCCGAAGACCAAGCAAATTCTAGCGCTGAACCAAATGACCTGTTTCTCCATGCCAGTGCAGTGTATATAATATACTCACCATCTCCACATACAACAACGAACCTTCCATTAGGATTGTGCCTTAAATTCTGCATAAATTAAGCTCAACAATCAACCACCCAACTTTGTTCCAAATTAACAACTAATTTGGTTAATTTGAATAGTTATATTTTAACAAATATCTAAGTCATACAAAATACAAAGGTTCCTGTAACTGCAACTAACTTCTGAATGTCGATGGAGATTAACATTACATAATAAAATCTATAACCAGGTCATATACTGCATAATAAAGTCACGATGAATATGCAAAATGCCTGATTTGATAAATAATGTACATATACCACTTTCCTGAAATTTGTCAAGGGTTGTAAAATGAAAGCATAAATGATAAAAATAGAGAATCCGTGCAAAAGAACAATGCATAATATTGACGAGGATATTAACTCACTTGTGGGTAAAGATCACAAGTGCCCAGCTCCTTAACAGCCAAAGGCAACCTTTCTCCATCAGCAACCTAAAATGCATAGTACATGCATGTGTCACTTAAAAAAGAGCTTTACACTTTTTGCCCACACATCATAAGCAAGAGGTATAAATGAGCCTATACCTCCAAATCTGCTCCTATGCTCTTTATATTGACAGTCTGAATTTCATTATGTTTAGCCCAAATAATTTTTCCACTGTTGTCCATGCTAGCTACAGGTACTTCTCGACCAAGTTTGACCATAATTGTTCCTTCATCATATCCAATCACAACCCTACATGAGAGACGCATGGATAATTAATGTAATGAGGGGGGAGTGAACATGAGAACACTTCATTATTGACACTACTTCCCAATAAAAACTACTCAAGGACCTAAAATATGAGATTGAGAAATTACATGCAGAAATTCTATGCAAATATACTCACCGGCGTGAACTCTTCAAGTATCCAATAGCCCAAACTCTTTCAAGACCATAGTTCAATGTATTCTCGAGCCTGCACACAGATTGAGAAACCAGCAAACAATGAAATGGGTGAGTTAGTATTTCATGAATTCAGAAAGAGACAGACAATATAGTACAGTTTATTCTCGAATTTAGTGCAATCTCAACTTTAAACAAAAATCTAGGCATTACAGTCACCAAAATAAACCTTTCATGTAAAAATAGAAGCTACGAAAAAAGAAACACGGAGGAGCAACACATCAACCAAAACATCATAATGTTAGCCTCATTTTTAAAAGGTCAAGAGTCAACTCCGGGCAAATAGTTCAATTTTATGTAAGAGTTGAGGATAATGGTAGGTAAAAAAAAGGAAGATGCGAAATAGAACAAACATAAAGCTCATAACTTAGTAATCTGAGCATCTCAAATTACCTATAAGTTGTTGAGTGCCATATGCGCACTGTACCATCCTCAGAACCAGTAATGATTATAGGAAGTTCAGGATGAAAGCATACAGCAGAAACATTGTGTGTGTGACCATCTAGGGTCTGGACACAACTTTTGGTCTGATAATCCCATACCTGCTCAATAGGTCTATAGATGTTATCGATATACATAAAATGTATCATGAACTATTGTTTATTGTGAGAAACAATAACTTACAACCGTTAAGACCACAATCAATGCACAAGCTTAAAAATAAAAATAAAAAAACATTTCGTGACCAAATCTTAACTGTCTCCACCCTATGCTACCTCTGCATCCTCCCCTTCCCTAGCCACCCTTTCTTCTCAAAGCTTCATCTTGTTCTCAATCTCACTGCCGTGAATTGCCGACTCCTAAATTCTCTGAGCGTGAGCTTTTCTTTGTTCCCTAACTGGATTTTGAATTTATGCATAATCAGATTTCATTTTTTATTCAATTGCCAAATTCTCAGAGCTTTTCTCTTTTGCTATTGAAGCTTCCAAGAGACTAAGTGTGCACCTTTTCTTTGGAATTACATTTCTTTTTCAATATTTAATATATCCATATATGAAAGGCTTTGACTGGGTTCTGTTATGACTCACTGCTATGATTTTTTTAATGAAGTGAACCAAAACCAACTACTCGATATTAGTTTAACTGTTCATTAAAACTGGAATAGTCTTGGTTGGAGAAGGCACCAATTTTTTGAGTGACTTTGAAAGAAAACAACAGTGATTTACTTATCTCTTTTGCTATTGAAGCTTCCAGGAGACTAAGTGTGCGCCTTTTCTTTGGAATTACATTTCTTTTTCAATATTTAATATATCCATACATGAAAGACTTTGACTGGGTTCTGTTATGACTCACTGCTATGATTTTTTTAATGAAGTGAACCAAAACCAACTACTCGATATTAGTTTAACTGTTCATTAAAACTGGAATAGTCTTGGTTGGAGAAGGCACCAATTTTTTGAGTGACTTTGAAAGAAAACAGTGATTTAAAAGATGGGGATTTTTGCTGCAGACTAGCTATTTCTCTATTCTAATATGCCAATGGACTTCTACAACTTTAGTTGCAAAAGGCGGCTGGGTCTCCTTTCCAATTAGATTGCTTGGAAGCTTAGTTTTTTTACAAAGTCAAATAGAGACTTCGCAATCCATGAAAGCGTAATTTTTCACTATATCTAGCTGAATATGTAAGGAGAAGAAGATCCCTGTGTTGAAGTCGGCAGAACGAATATTAAGTGGAGGTAGCATCGGTCAAGTGACCCATGAATTGAGTTTTTTTAATCTTGACCACTGATTGTAATCCAACAGTTCTTATGCTTTCTGATGAAAACATATGAAACAAGAAAAAAAGTGAAAACAAATAGTTAAGCAAAACCTTTGCTGTGTGATCGTCAGAACCGGTGATTAGATAAGGTTTGTCGCCACCTGTAAAGTAATCAACGCAATTCACTCCTTTTTGGTGAGCATCCAATGTAAAATTAGGATCGGGAGAGCCAAGATTCCAAATCTGAAAAAAGAAAAATAACAGGTGCACCAATGCATTTATACTTATGAGTATGATGAGCATAGAAATAATTTAAAAGAAGGAAAACTAGAAACGAGAATACAGATATACCTTTATAGTACGATCAAGAGACGCACTGGCAAAGGTGTTTGTGTCTTTAGGATTAAATGTCACTTGCATAACATAATGAGAATGTCCTTCAAATATCTGGGTACAAATCCAGCCTTTTTCCCAATCCCAGAGCTTTATGAGCATATCATCAGATGATGACAGAACATAAGGAAGGGTGGGATGAACTGATACACACCTAATGTAATCAGTATGAGCTTCAAATACTTTGACTTTATCCATTGTGTTGTAATTATATACACGAATAAACATGTCATCAGCTCCTGCAACAACCCACTGTTTGCGTGCAACAAACTTGGCTGATCTAACTGCAAAATCATGTTGGAAAAGAGCCCCAGTGGTCTTCAGAGTAAGAATATATGAGTAAAAGCATGTCTTCTAGCAAATGCATCAAGGGCTTTCAATCAAAATGCATCAAGGATTCAAGAGGTAAGACATGCAAATGGACAGATAAAAAAAGATTCATATACCTGGTAACTCAGTGACCTCGAAAGATTTGGCCATGGTCTGAAAAAGCATAAAAATATTAGTGCTGACTGATTACACAAGCAAATCTCCATAAAAAATAATAATGCCTCGTTTCTTAGAGTAGAAGTTTGTGAAGAACAGTACACAGACTAGGGCAGTAAATTTATCAAAAGTGAGATTGTTTACTAGAATTTCTTTGGAAATTCTGAAAGGACATTGGTCATTTTGCGTCAACTATGTGTATGAATTGATAAAACAATTCCAAATATCATCTACTTTGAATATAAAACAATTTTAGCAGTGCTTAATAACCATTTATGCAACACAACTACAGAAGTATTTGGCTTCATATTGTATGTTCAATCAATCATATAGCTGCTTGAAATTTGCAGGAAACCATGAACAAAAAGGTCCCTCCATTCGTGAATCAGCAGCTCATTATATTTAGGCACCGTGCAAAAGGTGGCTTGTTTGAATAACAATCAACAACCACCCGTGTCTGACTTGAATGCCAATCTATGGTATCCCCCATTTCATTTCTCAATTCAGTGAATTACATTTGTACGTTGTAACAGCATACAACATCTCAGTTTATGATACAATCAATCACAAGCATACCTGAGATTGGTAGTTCCAGATACAGACGGTTCCAGAGTATAAACTTGCCAGAATCCTACATTAACAAAATTAAATAATTAAATTTTTAAAAACAACAATAGTATCATCATATAACAAAGAAACACCACAATAATTATTAGTGACTAAATCTCAATAAACCATCCTAGTAGAACACATGCTTGAGACATATCTAATGATGAAAACAATTACAGATATATACCTAACTAACAAAACTAGTCAGGGATCATCATAAATTAATTTCAGATACTAAATAACACCGCGAAAGTTGAAGCATTACCATGGTTCTGTTGGATGTAGATCCACACATTTCACTCTTTCCGACCTCTGCGCAAGCTTACGCTGATCAAACATTAAGAAAACACATCAGCTTAATCCAATTAACCTTGGTTTCGCGGAATCTAACATCAGCAAAATAAATAACAAATCAAAATTGAAATCAAACATACCTTGATTTCGAGTCTGAGAGGCTGCAAACGCAATGCAAGCAACAAACAAAAACCAGAACGAGTCAGTTACACGGTTTAACACTAGATCCCATAGAAGTTCAAATCATAAAAGCTAGCTAAGCAAATCAATAACCTCGCATTTGAAGTTAGGGTAAGAAAAACGATTGAAATCAGAAAATCGAAGAGAATTGGATCAGATCTAAGATTGTTAAGAATGCGGAAGCGATTGCGAATGAACAACAGATCGAGAGAGAAGGTTACCATGATTGAAGATTGGTGACTGAACTAGGCTCTGTCGAGATCAATCGTCGGAGAACAGAACGCGAAGTCTTCTTCGACGAGCTAAGTGAGGATGAGAATGGGGAGAAAAATGTTTTTGTGTAGTGTGGGAGATCACAGAGGTAAATACAATGGGGATGAAAATTTTGCAGTTAGTGTGAGATTACGGAAATGCCACTGGATCTATAATTTCATGGGGTATGGATTGTACGGAGATCTGTGTATGTAATGGATCTAACGAATGTTATGTAAGATGCACACTGTTGGTTCCGTATAGGAAAGTAGAAAAATAGTTTCTCTTATCATAACTATTATTACATAATAAAGAGAAAGATAGAGTACGCACTAATAAAATATTTTTATATTATTAATTATGTATTCAACTAGATCACATTTTTATTTTTAAAATAATAACATAATATAGTTAAATGTTATAATTTTATTGTGTAAAATTAATTTATATAATACACTATCTTTAATTTCATTAAGACAAAACAAACATAAAAACTGTATAAAATTAATTAAAACAACATATTTATTTATAAATAAAATATGACTAAATGAATGAATATTCATTTTCAATCTATATTATATATTCTTAACATAATTTAAAATTTTTAAAATAAATTTGTAAAGTGTAAAAATAGTGACCTTTTATATTTTGGGGAATTTTTTTATTAAATAATCATGTTTTCAAACTAAAATATTAAAATAAAATTTTTTTTTTTTTTAAATGCTTGTGTTTTAAACAAAAAAAAATTATGTGCAGAGCTCAAGTGAGATAAATTGGCGTATGTACTAGATATTTTAGAGCTTAAGTCAGATGAAATAAAACTTTTAATTAATTATGTCAATTAATTGGTGTCTATGTTTTGGAGTTTAAAGAAGGCTCTAACTCATCGGGCGTTTGTCTTATTTGTCATTTTTTAATTGGAAATAAAATATTATATTCTAATAGGTATTATTTTTGTATAACTATAGGTGTGCCTTCTCACATTTTTTCACGCATGGCGTTTATTTTCTTCTTAATCTTTTCTTCATTTGTTTTAACATAAGTAGTATAAGACATGGACATATTTTTTATTCGATGAAGATGTATTTTTAAAACATTCAGAGTTTCGAGCAACTTGAGAGGAACTTGATCATTTGACTAATGAGTGATTAATGATGGTGAGCGATTTATAAGAATTAATATACTTGTTTCGTGCATCTCTATTACGGATAACAATTGAAATTGTATTTTAACGAGAATAGATATTGGACCAGATATCTGGGACTACGTGTGCAACTGGTTTATGATGGATTTTGGGAACAAGTGTCAATCTTCTTTGGATCTAGTCCACCATTGCATTTTTACTTTACTCTTACCGCACTATTGTATATCAACACACGACTTTTATTTTTTGTTTAAATTATTTTTTTTATTTAGTTTAATTAATCAATTAATTAACTAATTAAATGATTAACTAGTTTCAATCTTTTAGAACGGAAAATGTTTGATCAACATCAGGCGATTTTCAAAACATTTCATCGATCCTCATTCAATTCCACAACTATTTTATCATGAATTCAAAAACTTTTTCAAATATGAATCAAACACTTGATCGACATCAAGTCATTTTTTCAAACTTAATCTAATGCTTCAAAAATCTTTTTAATAATGGATGAAAAATGATTAGTTAGGCGTATGCCCCTCTTTTCCCCGAGTATTTGAATTCTTATCATATAGCTTGCATTTCGAAGACTCATCTTCCTCTCAAAATGTAATAACACAATCGAATCTAATTTGTTCCTAATTCGATGAAAAGGACCAGTTATGGTATGCCCCTCTTTTCCTCGGATACTTTAATACATGTTGTATAGCTTGCCTTTCAAGTATTTGACTCCTTCAAGGAACTCTAATTCAATTCATATCAAAAATTGTTTGTAATAAAATGGATGAAAAATGACTAGTTAGACGTATGCCCCTCTTTTTCCGAGTATTTGGATACATGTTGTATAACTTGTTTTTATAATACGCGTCTTTCACTTAAAAATAATACAACCCATCAAACTAATTTTTTTCGTCTAAGTGTGACGCAAAACCTTTTCATAAACGGGTAGTGTTTTATCCATTCAAAGCAAAACAAATAAATGCGGCAGTCTCCAAACACAAGCAACAAGCAATGTTTAACCGCTCAATGTGACTTAAGCACCACTCCCTAAAAGGAACCATCACGTGATTCTTTTCTATTAAGAACTATGCAGCTTTGAGTTCCTCATTGTACCTTGAGATACGTAGGATCGAGATTCAACGTCTCGTCAAGCACTTTAATAAAAAAAATCCAAATATATTTTTCTCGCTCAAAATTACGTAGCTTTGAATTCCTTATCTTACCAAAGGATATATAGGAGTGAAATTCAACGTCTCGTTAAGCATATAATAAAAATACAAAAACATTTATTTTCTCACTAAGAACTATGTAGCTTTGAATTCTTCATCGCACTAGAGGATACGTAGGAGCTAGATTCAACATTCCGTCAAGCACTATAATAAAAAAAATACAAAAACATTTATTTTCTTGTTAAGAACTACATAGCTTTGAAATCCTCGTCGCATCTGGGGATACGTAGAAGCGAGATTCAACGTCTCGTCAAACAACCTAATAAAAAACTTATTTTTAGTTCTTATTCTCTTTATGTAAATAACCGCAATAATTATAAGAAAATAAATAACATCACGCTAAAACTTAATCGCAAAACTAACTAAATGGTTCCCGTTTAATACAACAAATATGGGGGGTGCTAATACCATCCTCTTCCATAACTGACTCCCAAACCCAAATTTGATTGCAACGAACATTTTTTATTTTAAGGATTTTGTTGTACCCCAAAATTTATCCTCTCATTTTACTCAAGACATGTCCATTAAGATCCTCAACTTGCCCTAGGATGACTAAAAATTGACTAGACAAATTCTCCTTCTAAGGCAATAAACCTCTAACTAGGGTTTCAATTTTCATCAAGATGTGTGAACCCCAAGGGTCTCAAATGTTTTCCATAGTCTTAATATGTCCTCAAGATCATCCATACCAAATTTCATGCATTGCACAACAAGTTTGCTCAGTCAACTGCTCAAATGCCTAAAAATCAACCGTACTAGGTCAAAAGTCAAATGTGGCCTATATATAGTCAAACTTCAAGATTTTTGGTCAACATAAACATTTTGAAGTAATATCCATCATTTGATCAATGGTTGATCATGATTCCTCAAGAAATGATCCTAACTCTTCAAAAGTCAAAAATGGAAAATTAGGGTTTCTATAGGAAAAGTCAACCAAACTTTGACCAGACATAACTTTCTCACACTTTATCAGAAATTTTTCCACCAAATATCATTTTGAAGAGAATATAATTCCCTACAACTTCTCTTCATCCCTCAAGATCAAGAAATGCCTCATTCAAAAGATACAAGCTCAGACATTATAGGTCCTTTCAAAAAGTCAACAAAACACCTTTTGGATCAAAGCTCCTTACATGAACATGGAAGATCCAATTTAAATGAAACCAAAAGGGTTGTTTAGAGGACATCCCAAGATCTCTAAAAAGTCCAAGAATACCCTCTTAGGGTTAAAAACGAGAGAGATATGCATTGCTAAAGTTGACTAATTTTTGGAAAAGTGCATGAAACCAATATTGACCAAACTTGATATTTTTCCAAATGGGCCCATCTTTTCACATTTAAAACTTATTCCTAACATGTCCAAGAACCTATAAACTCAGCCATGCATACGTTTGATTTTTATCTTATTTACTATTGATTTTTATTCAAATAAAATCAAAATAAATTAAATAAATATAAGATTGATGTATAAGGCATGCAAGGCTGGACATTTGGTCATGTTGGAGGCCCAAAAAGCTCACAAATAGCTGTCAAAACGCGCAAGGCAAGAGGAGGGAAAGATTTTCTTGTTTTGGAAAGTTTGGATCAAATCTTTATGACATTAAACAACATGATTATATTTGATCTCATGGATATTTTTGTTGACCTAATATGGTCTCATACATATACACAAACGATCCATACCTAAAGGAGACACGCAACTGCCTCCACAAACCCTAGCAAAAATTCCAATTTTTCTCAAAGAGAGGTGCAACTTGTATCACACGGTCCAGCCATCCTTAATCCATTCCAGGTGTTCCATTATCACCGTGAGGTTCCCAGGAACTTTTTTCAACCATTACTCAAGCCAAATTGTGCCCAAAATCGCTTCCCCAAGCGCCACCGGTTTGGTAAGATTTGATAAATTCAAATGTAATAATTCATGCATTGTTGACATATTTGATGTGTTGTTTTGGGTTCAGGACACCCATTAGAACAGGTTAGACGTTTCGCATGAGAGCTTTGATGCTTGAATCATAAGATGCCATTGTTAGGATATCACTAACTGAAACCTTCGAACCTTACAATACAGGGACTTTTAGGTCAAATGGATACCACCATTAAACTCGCAGCATGTGATTTAGGGGGGGTAGGGTTAATATCTTGCTTTGATTCGTGTTATTTTGCAGGTTTTAATTTTTGGTATCACCGGAGAAGAAAGAGTTGACCACCGTGAGCGGTGGTCACACTCACTGGTGCATGCGTGGCACGGTCCCTTCTTTCAATTGGTCCATTTAAACTTCAGGGCCCTACTCAGTGCGCGCGTTTTATTTGTTGATATATTTGACCTAATTTCACATATATATTATTGTTTGTGTTTATATAAATGAATGACAAAATGGCTTGGTGGTAAGGAAGAACGCGTGTGAAGTGAAAGACCTGGATTCGATTCCCAGGTCTGGAGTTTTGTTTTTCTAACAGGTTTTATATGGATCCAGCGCTTCAAGCTCCAGCGTGCACACCATGTGTCCTCACACCATCACCATCAGATCTTCATTGTTCCAGATCCAGCGAGATTCAAATCCATGACCTTATGCTTACAAGCTCTGTTTCCTTACCAGTT